AAAGAAAATAGTATTTTGGAAAGTTGCCTTGAATTACAAAGGTTTTAACTTCTTTTGCTATTAATAGTACACAATATATAGTAATTATATTAGAAAAGTAGATTAAAAAGTTCTTCAGGTATTTATGTACATGCATATAGGTATTAAATTAGAACAGTATTAAGAAGTTAATTTACTTAAAATATTCAATAATATTATAATTATAATTTAATTTTAAATATTATTTACTTATATCATTTAAAATTTCTTAATTTAAACGAATAACTTTAAAAAACCTGTTAAAAATTTTTTTTAAATAGGTTACTGAAAATAATGTTTGTAAAATAATATTAAAATGTTAGTGTAATAAATTTTATTTAATATTTAGAGAGAAAAATAATTAATATAATACGACTTCATAACTAGTTTCTGTTTAGTTAGTCACTTTCAAAATATAATTATTTGTAATCTTATGTGTATAAAATTAGTAATTATCATTTTTAGCCATAATAATGTAATCATAGATTATAAAAAAATTCAAATAATGAAAGATTGTTGTTTTATAAAAAAAAGTGCAATTATAGTACATGCATTTAGATAATGATAAAATATATGAAAAAAAATTCTCAATTAGAAATGATTATAATATACAATTCCTTAAATATTATAAGCTAATTAATGTTACGTTTTAAAAAATGAATATTAGTAATAATGAAATGAAACATAATATTTTAATTGAACAATGCAAAACTGTAAAAGAATATATAAAGTTACCTAAAAATTTATTATATTTAAATTATATTTTAAGGAAATATTCAAAGAAAATGAATGAAATACAAAAACTAACAATATTCTTTGAAATATTTAATTAAAAAATTAAATACAAATCTCAACTCGTATAATTTTATTATAAAGGATTTTATTATCCATCCCTTTTTACAATTATTTTATTGAGATACCTATATATTTTTAATTGAATCTATAACTTTAATATTATTGATATTCTTCAACAAATCGTGTACTAATCCAAATATTATAGGCAAGAATATTTTTATTTTATAAAACATGTTAAAGACGTTAAAATTTAATTGAATAACTGAATAATTTATGAAGACAAAATTATACTCACTTTTGATTAAAACTAAAATATATAAGATTCGAGATTTATTATTTTTCTTAATTTCATCCACTTTGTAAATCAATATTCGATAAAACGAAAATACTTTCACGATACACAATTTTAATAATGTTATTTTATAATTATAACTTTTTTTTAGACTGTACATTTGTCCATATTTTATTAATATTTTAAGATGGCCATACTTGTACGACTTATCATTCCACTTTATATTTGTTATTAGTTATTATATTTAAGACATTCCATAAATGTTATTTTTATACCACTTGCATTAGTTAAATAATGAGAGTTTAAAATTTCATTTAAATTCGTAGTTGGATTCATTATTCCTCTTTCATGAAAGTCGTATGATCACAAATACATTCATGATAATATATTCACTCCTTAATACTTGTAATTATTATTTTAGTTTTTAGTATATATTACAATTCGGGTGTCTCAATTTAACTGCAGTTACTTCGATTATCTTAGCACAAGCAGACTCATAAAATAGTACAACGATTGACAGTAGTCTTGTAATCAAATTTACAGGATGGCTTCCTGTCTTGCGTAAGCACGTACTTGACGCTCGTAATTTTGAACACCTGAATATTTTATCGCACCTGTAAGTCTTACTAGAGTACAAAAATGTTAGGAAAAAATTAATTGTCCAATTTAATTCCATTCGATATTTAATATAAATATTTCTCTAAAAAGTTATAACCAGAATTGAAATAATAATTTTTAGTTGGGCAACTGTAAATTTCAGATATTTATTTAATTAAAAATAAATTGAAAAAACTCAGAAGTACATAATAGAATATAAAAAAATTAAAATAGCATTAACTTACATTAACAGTGTATTATTTAATGAATAACTAATTTTAAAGTAATATTTGTTTTAATACAATATATTAATAAAATATAATTTTTAAAATATACAAGTTATATATTATATAAAAAATATTATATAATATAAATAATATGCAAATAAAATGATATATAAATAAATTAGTAGATAAATAAAATCTATATAGTTTTAAATAAAATATTTAAAATGCAGTATTTTTATTCATTTTCTGCGTAAAAAATCTTATAAAATACTTATTAATAAAATGATTTCACTATTAAAGACCAGTGAGGTATGAAATAAGTTTTTATTCTGATACAAAAGCACAATTTCTGATATAACAATTTCCAGATAATTTAATATATTTACCTTACAACCAATGTTACTGGTGGGAAATCAATGAATTAACAAAATAGTTAGAATACTTATAAAATATAAGAATTAATAAAATATGTCAAAGAAACATTTTATAATTGGTATCTATTATAATTCTAATAGAAAGAAATATATAAAATTTCAAAATAATATTAAATGAAATAAAATATTATAAATTGTAATTATAAATTATTATATAAACAGATTTTGCTAATATTTTGAAATTAACAATTAAAAAAAATAATATAAATGAATAATGTACCAAGGAAAGATTATTACTATTATTAATCAATTGAAAATCTATTTGTATATAGTAAATTCTGTACATACTTAATATTAATTAAACTTACTAAATTTAGTAAATCAAAATTATTGGTGAACAAATAGAATTATATTTGAAGTGAACGTTTATTTATGTTTATATTTATTCCAGCTTTTTATATTTTTTTGTGATATTAATACATTACACATACTTTTAAAATGTGCAGCATTATTTCTGTATATATAATGAAACCGAAACATTTTACAATATATTTACAAATTACATATTATTCATCCTATTATTATACATCTTCATTATACATTAATTGCAATAAATATAACTACTGTTTTATGTCTGAAATCGAAATTGTATAAATTGGCATTTGTTAAAGTTTAAACAGGATCAAATAAGTTATCTTGAGTGATATCATTTACAATTGATTTGAATAATTCAAATTATGAATAATGATAACAATTTGTTTCAAGATAATTTTAAAAGAATGTACCAATTTAATAATTTTTGAAAATTATTAACTGTGAATATCAAAATTGTGAATGTGAAATATTATCTTTAAAATTATTGATGCATATACTCCTGGTATCATCTTCTGTAGAAACATCTAAATATAATATATAAATATAATTCTTAAATCATATCATGCTAAATGTGCTTGCACAGCAATAATGATGAAGAGCAAAAATCGAAGTTAAAGAAGTTGGGTCGACCTCGCAGACCGATTGACCTGATTGTCGAGACGTTCCGACGCAAGTCAATAACCACTTAACATTAGCCGTACACGCGCCTGAAAAATCCCGATGACTATGTACATATTTTGTTCTCTCTGTTGCGCTCGGGTACGCCCATATTCCCACTAGCTGTTGTCGAGACTGTTGTCTCGCATAAAAAAATAATACCGTTTGAAGGCGCTCTTCTTTACATCAGTTATTGAGTCGAAATCTCCAATGTGGATACAAAAAATAAAAATTTAAACGCGAATTTGTATTACCTTCAATAAAAATTCTACATATGAAATTTTATGAACAATTTTTTAACAATGTCAATAAATTTACAGAGGATTGAATTATCATGATGTGTTGACATTTCTTTTATAGTACATTCAATTACTGTAATATTGTTTACTATTTGTAAGACTGCAATTGGAGATGATTTCATAAAGTCAAGAAATATTTAATTGACTTTACCACTAGAATTTAATTTGTTCTATATCACTATCTTAATAAAGATTATAAATAAAAAAATTCAACTAAATTTAAACATAAATACTAACCAAGTCCTTGAATAATTATATTTTCGATTATTTAGTTTCTATTAATTTTTAACTATAATAATATTATTTATTTACTAAAAAAACTAAATTTAAGAATTACTTGATATTGAAATTAGAAAGAATAACAATTATTATTATTTTAAAATGATAATATACAACTCACTTGCTGTCTTGAACGTTAGATATTGAATAGTTTATATTATGTTTTAAATTAATGTGTCATGAGTATAATAAATATTATTAAACTTAATTTTTTATTATCACCCATGAGGTCTTTACTTTAAATTTATAAATGCTGTCATATAGATTCGTTAAGTTCAATATTTAGAAGTTTGATAGTTCTCTTATCACGTATGAAATAATATTTATATCATAAATTTTTACGGACATTTTAATTACTTAATATTTAGAAATTGATAGTTTAGAAAAAACTATATTTTCTATTTTTTCATGATATTTAATATTATACATAAAAATATAACAAATCATACATTTTGTTGGTAAAAATTTGAAATTGTTGATATTAAAAGGTGTTATTTAAAATTTTAATTAGTTATAATAAAGTGCATAGTAATAATAAGTTAATCTAAACATACGGATAAAATAATAAAATTATTTTCTAAAATAATAAAATTATAAAAATATATAAGAAACATAGATTATCGTCAATAACAAAATAGTAGGAAACATTAAGTTTTACATATCTATAGATGTATATTTGAAATTTCTTCAAATGTAATTTAAATTTGCTTTAAATCAGAACTTTTTAAAAATATATCTAAATATATTATATTTATTCTTAGATTTGATATATATTGAAGCTTTTTATAAGCGCCCTAGTAATTGTGATTTACTGTATAAGAATTAACAGGATTCAAAATTTAACAACGCAGTCCATTAAACTTACGAATCCATCAAATGAATTTAAATTTCATAAATCGGCTGAATGAATATTATCATGTCACTTTCTTCTTCCATTAAATGAAACATAAAATATTCTTTTTTGACCTTACAGAAAAATCTATTACTAAAATGTACTCTTATTTGAAGACAATTACACGAATGAATATATTAAATAAAATCAAAAGATAATATTATTTTACCAAGAAATAATAAACTGAAGACTCACCGCTATTCTCTGACCGAATCCAAGGAAGGAGAGTTTCCGCTTGTTGGCGAGAGTTGTTCGCTTATCTGCTTTGCCAGCCATTATAGACTTCCTCATTGGTGGCTCTGCTTTACGGATTACTCTTTTTCCTGGGTGCCCGTCCGATCCTCAGCTGGGACGGCGATGTCCACATGTGGAGGAGTCGCTCCGATGGCAGCTCCGTCGTCCTGCTGGTTGCTGCAAAACACAATATCATACTTAATCAGTTATATAGGCTTATGTTTGAGATAATTTGCATAAAAATTACTTATTTTTATAAAAAGGAGAAATTAAATTCTAGAAGCTGTATGTAATTATTATATGTATTAAATATATTTTCTACACAAAGAACATGATTATTTATAAACACTTTTATTTATAATTGACTTCTATGTATCAAATGTATTTGATAAATCACATTTTTCGCAACAAAATCCAGTTTGTGTATTTAAAAAAATTAATGGATTGCTTCAGTATGCCTTTATATAACTTTATAAGATATAGTATAGAACTGGATTTAAAAGGGTAAAGTTTGTATTTGTAATTATAAAGAAAATCATGAACTGTTGTATTGTTATGATTGACTATAATGAAATAAGATAATCTGAATTTATAATCACAAATCTGAGTATTTATTTTATTTACCCCGTGCTTTACATAAATATAAATTTATTTATTATATATTTATACAATTATAAGGTTTCGTTCAATCCTGCTTTATAATTCAAACAATCAAATGAATAATTACAAAACTGAAATATATCCTAAATAAATTTTCCACTTGAATATATAACGAAATATATATGAATATGTATAAAAATAATTTAAAAATATCTTCAATATATAATATATGTAATAAACATAACCAAATTTTAATCTATATGTTCATTTTAGTATTACATCAAATAAATTCAATATAATTTATTTTATAAGTTTGTTAAAAATTTAATTTAAAATAAAATTGGATTAAAAGTATCGATATTCTTATAATAAAACAATATAAAAAATTATTTCAAAATAAAAAATTCAATAATATTATTTTAACTTCTCTTTACTCTTAAATACATTGTTATATAAATATGAGATATTTTGAAATATTATGTAAATTGAAATAGATATAAGAGATGAAACAGGTGAAATATATATAGATATAAATTTCTAATAATTTTAGGAAAAAAAATATATATATATTTTTCTTTCATTTTTTTTTTCAAAACATATATAAAAAATTTATTTAAATTAACTTCAATTAATTAAAATTACATTACGCAAACAAATATATTTTTATTATTGCAATTATTTAAATTTTATTCGTAATGCAAATGTAAAAATCATCAATTTTAGGCAATTGTAGCTAATTCGATCTACTTGATTACAAAAATGTATTATAAAAAAAACATTTTTCTTGTGGTAAAATGTGTGCTTGTAATATTATTATTTAAAATATATTATATTATTTAATTATCTTTTTTTAAACATTATATGTATCATATTAATATATCAATATTTAGTATTAATGATTTTTCAAAAAATTAATAATATCTAATATTAATAAAATCATAATATTAAAAGAATATAGGTTCTTTTCAATGTACAAAATGTAGAGACAAAACACAGCTAACATACATGCACAAAATCATAAATGACATATGCAAAATATTTCATTCCTAATAATTCAATTCTCATCCAAATTACGTTTAGAAGAATATGTAAACGTACATAAAGTAAATATAAACTAATACGTATTAATTTAATTTTAAACGAAAATGAAAAAATTGAAATTGAGCCCACAATGTCCTTACTAAATTAATAATTGATATAATTCAACAATAAATTTCAACGTTATTTTATTTTTTTTATTTTTGTATGATTTATGTTTTATTTATATATTTTATACCTACATAAAATAATTTTTTAGAATTTTTGTTATATCCAAACATGTATATATTCATATTTTAAAAACAAGGGAATTTATTATATTTTAATTATTATATTATTATATTATATTTAATTATATTTCAAATTTTCAAGAAATTGTAAAATGAAATAATTTAATATATAGAAAAAATATTCTAATTGAAATTTAAAAATAATAATTAAATATTTATATCTCGTAAAAATATATTTGCATATATATAAGTTGATGATTTACAAATCAACATTTTAATCAATTTTAATCAACATTCATTGCCGATCGATTAATATGCTGATAATCGCCAATTTTTTAATAATGTAATTGCTTAATGTTACAATTTTTCAAAAGTACTCATATAGTAAAAAGTGTTACATGAATACTATGCAATGTTGTGCATATAAATGCTATAAACGTAAAAAAAATACATGTTATGAATTACCTTTATTATAGCTTTGTATGTTTGTTATATATTTTGTTAAATTACTTTGATATACAATATAAATTTATTTATTTAAACCAAATATTTAAAGATTTAAAGATTTAACAAATTTAAAGATAATTAAAAATGAATCAATAAACAGAGAAAAATACTTTGATCAATAAAACTAAAATTAAATTCAATTTTATTCTATTTATACTGAAAATATATTTTTTTATGGCTATTTATGAACTGAATCCAATGATATATGTAATATGTAACAAAATATCACAATAAGTACATATGCATATCACATATTATACTTCTCGATTAAAGTACTTTTAAAAGTTTATTAATGAAATTCAGTTAAAAAAATATTATATTAAATTTAGAATATTAATAATAAAAACTGTATAATATAAAATACAGCATATACAATCATTTAAAATTTCTTCTATTTAAATTTGTTAAACCATAAACATTAAATATAAAATATAAAATAAGAGTAAAATAAAGTAAATATAAAAAAATAAATATAAAGACATATTAAATATAATATATAAATTCATAAAACATATCTTATATTTGGTTATTAAACCAAAAAAGCGTAGTTTTACAAAATTTTAACAAATGTAACATATTATAAATATAATTTCATTTACAATCTCGATGCTGTAATGTTTCACAAGGAATATTTATTATTTTGAAGCTTTTAGAAGCCTGTGGGTGGCATTTCATTCAATATAAGCGTGATGATTTATAATGCTAATTTCCATGTTCCATGTGCTATCTAGTAATGTCTGCATGTATAGGAGGATTTACAGCATAGTATGTTAATAACTTCTTTTTTTTGGTTATTTAATTTCGTTATATTAATGCATATAACTCCGGAACATCATCTTTCAACATCACTCGAACACATATTAATGTAAATATCACGACATATATTTCATGTATTATAACAATAAAGTGTCAATAATCGTTTAGGATATAATTATATACATATATAATGATTTAAAGTCTAATTTTCGACCCTTTAAATAAAATTAATTAATTTTCGGTATAAAATAATACTAAGTGTTTTTAAAAATATTTAATACAGAAATAATTTTAATTTTGTTCAAATTAAATATATACAAAAATATCTAGATACAATTATTGTATAATAAAGCAAACAGTAAAATAGTTTGTATAGGACTAACATCGACTATGAAGACATAATTCAAATTGATAATTAATACTATTTACTAGCATTCAACATAATTAAGTAATTTCTGTCAGTTCCTAAAATTTAATAAACAATAATAATTTAGTATTTTACAATTGTTTTATTTTTGAATAATTATTTATAGTCAATAACAATTTTAAATACTTATTATGTGACTATCAACTAGTTTATAATAACTGTAAATTATTAGTAAAATGTAAATTATTAGTAAAATGTAAATTATTAGTAAAATGTAAAAATTATGTAAAATATCAATAAATGATGTAAATAATAAAAAAATAATCAATAAATAACAATTGAAATATTTTTAACAATTTGAAAATAATTATCAAAGAATTAAAAACAAAAGAAATATACTGATGATGTGAAGACTGAAATTAAAATTCTTTTATAATTTTTAGAATAATTTTATTAGAACATTATATTGATAATTATTTAATTTTATACAAATTAACACACATATATATATACATATATATGTATTATACATAAAATATTCGTAGTATACATAAAATATTCGATTCTGAATTTAAAATTAAATGACAGAATGGTATTCATACAAAAATTAATAATTTCTTTTATTAATATTGTTACAATTGTTTGCACCTCATATACTCTGAAAAAAAAAACAGTTTAAATATTTACTGCATATTATGATGACAGTATACAAATTTTTAATTTATAATATTTGTACGGTTTGTATTAAAACATCATGACTATTGTTTATTTATAAGGTTGTTATACCTGTTTTCTTATTAGACACAAGTAGTCTTGTATAAAATCTATATCATTTATTGATTCTAACATACGCTCAAATTTACATAGCACATTTATTATAAATAGATTTAGTAGATTTATCAATTTGATTGTTAAATAATTTCATAATAAGTTGTTACTCTCTAATGCAATTCTATCTTTATTCATTATGTACTTATTTGTTTTAAATTTATTTGTTTATTTATATAGACTTTTCGTTAATATGCTCTTGAAGAAATCATTATTTATTTAATTGTAAATTTATTGATATAGAAGTTGTTAATATTTCTTTTTATAAACATAAAATTAATGTACTTGAATTAAAACAAAAACCAAAAGTTAGTATGCAATTTTGAAAATGTAATTTATCGAACATTTTAATAATTTTTTGACATTTCCATTTTTTTCATATTAAAAAAATATTAATAAACATATTTTAAATATAAATAATAAAAGCAAATAATAATTGTATAATAATTATTTTGATTGACATAAAATTTTTTATGTTTTTTAAAGAAAAAATTAAATATTTAAAACAAGTTGTAAATTAAAAATTTAAAAGTCCTAGTTTTATTAAACACCTTTGTTTGAATATAGTAATTATTCGTATTATTTAATAACTAAATTTGTGCAATCGTTATAAAAAATAACTATTTATAAGTATAAGGTATATCTATTCTCATAAATACATAAAAATTATGTAATAATTAATATAAAATATTACAGTATAGGTGAATATTAAACCCTGTATTATAATCAACATATACATATATATTTTTTAATATAAATATTAAATAAATATTCTGCAAGATTTTTTATGAAATTATTGGGAAGCTTATTTATAAATAAATAAAATTTTTAAGAACTATATTGTTTACCGG